GTCTCGTATCGTCACCGCGTTGACCTTCTGAAGGTCCTGGATCCATCGGATCTTGCCATTCGGCTTTCGCAGGAAGAACCATCGATTTGCATAAACACTATCAGACGGCTCCGCAACGTGGAAAACCATCTTTTCTTTTAGGAAAGCGATAACTTCTTCCTTCTCCTTCTGGGCGTACTTCCATCCCGCGTTGTTCCAGGGAACATGTGGTATCGTGTAAATCCTTGCTGGCTTAGCGTATCTAGGGTCAATCCTACCGCGTTCCGCGTCGTTGAAAGCTATTGCCTTATCACATGTCTTCAGAATTTCTATCACACATCCTCGCTCCTGTGGGGTCAGATTTCCATCTCCGATGTCCATCCCTGCTATTCTCTCTTCCGTTAGGCGTTGTGGCTCCTTTTTCTTTCTTTCTTTGATTTCTTTCGCGATCTCTTTTTCTGATACCTCTTCTAGTGCAGATCGCTCGCGGCCCACCGCCGCTGGCTTAACTTTTTGTGCTACTCGTTTGTGTCGCTTGGGTAGCGCCCCATAGGAGGCCGTGCCCTTAAAAAAGACACGGATACCACACCGCCAAATTCCTCATCTTTTTCTTTTGGGTACGAGTTGCCGTCCACTATTAGCCGACTCCCTAAGTCTTCCACCTCCACCATCCGACCTTCTTCCTCTGTGAGCAGTGGTCCATATTTCTTCTCGCGAAATCGCACCGCGCGGCTGGAGATAGGCAACGACTTAATCTGATCAGTGGGTCTTGCACCCACAACGAGAGCTGCTCTGTTCCTCGGGTCCCGAGGCTCCACCGTCTCAATCATTACCCGCGTCCCGTCTGGCTTCTTAATGGACAATGTTTGGCTCCTATCAGGTCGCTCTATCGTCACCGCATGCACGTGGCTGAGCGACGTTCGACCCAAGAGCAGGTCGGAGCTGCAGTTCTTGACTGCAAAGACAGGTAGGGTCACTCGCACCCCTTGGACCTCTATGGCTGCCTTGTGACAAACCCCAGTGATCTGTTGCTTTCTCCCATCAGCCGTCTCTATCTCGAATAGGTATGACCTATCGAGGCCCAGTCCAACTTGTACCGCCAGGTCCTCGTCTATGATGACAGCCTCACTGTCGTTATCAATCACAGCATCGAGTACCGCTTCATCGTTTATAATCGTCTCCACGGCTCCGCTACCAAGTATATAAAACTTGTCTGGAGGCACACCTTCCATTCCATCGAGAAGGACTGCCGCCATGCGATCCGCTCTGGCAGTCACCCCCGTTACCGTTACTGTAGAAGCTTCCGCCTTAGGGGCCTGACCCTCCTCCGATAGAGGTATGCGAGTCTTCCGCGTGATCATCTGTAACTCATCACGAGCCGGCTTCGATGCCGCCAGGTACTCCAGAATAGAGCACAGCATGGGTTGCCGAAGGGCCCGCCTGAATGGCTCGACCGTGTCAATCTCGTCCAGCGAGCTTTTCATTAAGGACTTCTTCACTCCCCGCTTTCGCGGCGAAAGGATAACCTCCTCTCCATCGACCTGCTGCCCGTCCTTCTCCGTCATCATGTAATCCGTGTCAGTCTTCTTCGATGTAGACCCTCTCGCCGACTTGGTGGCTGCCACCCTAATGGGTGTGGTCGCCATGTCCCCCTCAAAGGTTATCTTGATGCTCTGGCTCCTGACCGGCTCCATTCCTTTACTCGTCTTTATTCTCCTTGCTTCGACATTCTCCTTCATCGAAGGGAACATCGATACATCTCCAAGATCATCTGCCCACTTGACGTACTTGCGGTCGTCAAGCACGACAAGTCCCTCTTCTATTGCCCGTTTAAGGTCCGGGCAATCCCTCTTGATATGATCTTCTCCTCTACAGTAGACGCATGACTTCCTCGGAGTAGATGCCCTGTCGTCTGCGCCTCTAGAGATCGAACTCTCGGCCGCCTTGGGGTCAGGCGACTTGGGATATGGTTCTGATGAGACACCATATCCCCCTCTTTCATTCCGACCGCGCGAATCGTTGCGCCGGTCTCCTCCAAACCCTCCTTGCTCATACTGCCCTGGCGAATCATTCCGGCGGTCCCCCGAATCATATCGTCCTCGTGACTCATCGCGTCGGTCCCCTCGGTTGTACCATCCTTGCGTCTCGTCGCGCTACTCTCTCACATCTCCCCCGCGCTCAAACCGTCCGCGTGACCCACCTTGTCGTTCCCAGTCCCGATCTCCTCTCTCATATCTACTTCCTCTGTAGCCATCTCGACCTGACCTCTCGTATCTGTCGTCCCTATATCCATCTCGGTCGGATCTCTCGTATCTGTCGTCCCTCTCCCATCGGCCGCGGGAGTCGCCTCTACCCCGATCGGCCTCATAGCGAGGGCTTCGTGGGTAATCATCCAACCTCCTTGCTCGCACAAACGGCTCGCGATCTCCACGGTCTCGGTCTATCTTATCGTCCCTATGTCGCCATGGCTCATCGTCTCTCTCTCTTCCCCTCGTACGATAATCAGTCACCGTCCGAGGATTTCTATCATCAACACTCCTCCAGGGATCGTTGTTCCTACGGTCCCAGCGAAGTGAATAGGGCCCTCCAGGTTTGTCCCAGTAGGCCGTGGCCCCTGTGGCGGTCACAATCTCTGTAACCTGTCTCGTTAATCCCTTCACCATGTCCCGTATCTCCTTCACTTCCTCAGCCACGGCCTCATTCTTCTCCGACCAGGGATAATCCTTGAAATCGGGACATCTATCAGTGGCATAGTCCTTGTAGAGAGAGAAGTCACGTCTCCTCATCCCTTTCCACACCAAGTCCTTGTAATCGTCTGCCTGTGCCTTTATCGCGAGCTTTAGGACTTCTGGGAAATCAAGCTTGTCACGCGGAAGATCTCTAAGTATACTTTTTTGCCTACCTTTGGACAAGTGTCCGATGACGATAGTACAACGCTCGACCTCTGAGATCTTCCCCTTCTTCATCAGCACGTCGGAGATCTTTTGGAAACGCATCCCAAATGCCCGTACGCTCTCATCTTCATCCTGAGTCATTGTTCCAAGGTCCTTGATGGAATATTTGTTATCCTCCAATTTGTAAAACTCAACGAGGTTCTTCTTGTACGTAGTCCATTTTTCATCCTTCGGACGAGCTTTTTTAACTTCTCTTCCAAGACTTGAGGCCACATTAAATAGGAAGTTTTCTATAATCTCTTCCTCCGACCACTGACTCCGGCTGGCGTGAAGCTCCCACTTCTCCAGATATTATGTGATACCATAGCCCCTGAAGGTAGGAGGCTCTAAGACCTTGTGCGTAATAATATAGAGGTCCTTGCTCTCGTAAGGGAGCGGATGTGACTCCCCTGTCTGGGGGTCGAAGACTCGCCTGGGCGGCTCCCTGTCTCTATCTCTGTCCCTCCAATAGGAATCCCTCAAATCCTCTCTCCAGTTGTCTCTGTACCTGTCTGCTATGGTGTCCCTCCGCTCGTACTCGGGGGAGCGTCGCCTCGTCGCATCTCGTCGTCCGCTCGAGGTACCCGTCCTTAGAGCCTCCTGCGGTTCTGTCGCAACTGGCTCGCCTCTCATGTTGGGCCCTCCGTCATTGGTTTGGTCAGCCCATCTCAGCGGTGCTTCTTGCCTAATACGTTCCTTCAGATCCCTCAGTGCTCGTTCGGGCGATGCCCTGTACTCCTCTCCTGCTTCGCCCGTGGTCGGTTGTGTCCCCATCGTGTCGGGTTCCATTGGACCACCAGAAGACGCAGTTAGGTATTCTAGCCAACTTGTTACAGCCTGACCCTATGACAGTCGTTGCAGCCCGGACCTGTTTCCTTGTCACGGCTCGCGTCCGCCTTCAAACTTAGCTCTCGATTGCCTTGATTACCACCTCCAGTAACCCGTACCGGCCGCAGATCTCGTGCTCTCCCTCTATCCCAGAAATCCCTGTGTCTAAGTAAACCTCTCCTTCGGGGTCGCCCAACAAGGCCGTGCCTCTCCAGATCTGCAGCTCACCCGTGACACCCCTCAAGAGTCTCTGAGCGTCTCTCTCCGTCCTCCTTGCTAGTTCTCCTAGCCCTGTCTGAATCGGTTGGCCCGCCAAAGGCCCTCCTACTGTCGTCCAATGTCGCCCATCGACCTTTCTAGCTTCCTCTATCCTTCCAAGAGCTCCCAATTTTTATCTCCTCAACGGCTACGAGGTCATCTGTCTAACAATTGAGGTAAGTTAGTGCTATAACCACTTGTAACCTCCTCGCCGACCGCTCCAAGATGTCATAAAATGTCTCAAAGTCCTCATTATCTCCTCCATCGTCTATCGCTTCTAAAGTCTTTATCGTTTCCTTCCAGTACCGGTTGTGAGCGGCTAACACCCTGAGTATTACACCATCTATTACAACTCTCCCTAAGTCTCCAGCTTTCCTAGCTTCGGTTATCTTCAACCTCTCAGCCTCTCTAGTCGTTTCGTACCATGCCCTTATCCTACATTGCCCTTCGAAAGGTGTCACTTGGAGCACATATTTAATCCTCCGTCCTCCTTCTATTCCAATCCAAAGTCCTGTCCCCCTTGCCTCGCGCAGGGCACGGCGGACACACTCTGCCTCCTCAACTATGCACAGTCTGGTATGGAGTTGGAGCTCTACGATCACTAAYACCAATGGTCCGTCCAATCTCCCTACCACATGCAATGAGTACCGATCCGTCGTGTGCACTGCTGTTCCGCTCATGTCTTGTCGCTACTTCCCTGCGTTACTTTGTCTTCCGTTGTCCCGCTCTCTGCAGATCGTTCACTAGTTTCTTCGCGTGATACGTTTCTAGCCTTTATCCTCTCCAGAAAGTCTGATTTCCACGCCTGGATAATCTCTCTTTCTTCCCTAAACAGATTGTCTAACTCTCGTGTCACGAGTTCAGCCCTTCGCAACTTGCCCTCGTCCTGGCACGACCAGATCTCCCTTAACTTGTTCTCCAACTTCTTTACCTGGTTCAAGAGTGGTTCTTTAACGCGCTTTCTCACTCTTCCGACTGTCTCACTCTCCCCTTCCATACTCAGTCCACATCTTTCTCCAGCTCACCCTCTCACCCTCGCTCTAGCCTCCGCTACCCTCTAATCGTGGTAGTGCTCCGCGCGCATATAACCGTGAGACCATATCATCACATCATAGGAAATTGAGGTCTGGAAGGTCACTCGCGCCAGTACATCAGCTCTACGCTCGAGAATCAAATCCCTAGCTCGTCGTCTGCACTCACTCGCCGTCAAGTCCTCGTTTACGTACGCTCGGAGAAGTACTGTCACAGTGTACCCTGTGCTTACCAGTTGCTCTTCTACACGCATCACCGTGGCCGTCCTTCCCGACATTCCCTAAGCTGCGACCTCGAAGAGAAATCTTGCTTCCTCTAGCCCCGCGTAATCGATCTCTGCCCGTCTCCTGCAGTACCTAATCAAATCGATAGGCCTCAGACAGTCCACCCAGCTCATAACATCTATGATGTTGTCAAGAGTCTCTCTACTGGGCGGCCCCCATCTCACACAAATGGCGTAGTATACTTCCTTGAAGCGGGGAGCTAAGCCCTCCCAGAGCGCGTAAAGTATGTGATCCACTGCTCTCCTCAAACGATCCACGCTGCCATAGGTCTGCCCTATCACGAAGGTAGGAACTCCGAACCGCCAATCCTTTCTCGGGTAGAGGGTCGGATGTGGTGGACCGTATACCAAGCAGCTCCTACTCGTCCTCCCTCCAGCGAGTCTCGCCAATTGCTGATTAACGATCACTCTGACCAACAACTCGCTTCTCCACCAACTCCTGCTCGCCCCTGCGAGCGTTAGCCCTATCTCTAAATCGTGTGTTCTATCCGCTATTAGATGTCCGACCCCTTCTAGATCATGAGTCCTCTCGGGTCGTTCGTCTCTTAGTATCACTGTCCATAGGTAGAGCCCCTCAACGAGCCACGTTCCCAAGTATCGTATCGGTACACGCCCTGCCTCTTCTAACGCCACAGGAAGTGGTATGTCGTATCCAATCGCCGTCTCTCTGGGTCCCACAAGCTTCCTCACACTATACGATGCGGACTCTCTTGAGAAAACATAAGCTAACCAGGCCGCTGAATCACTCCTCATTTCTTCTCCTACTCTCGGTCAACATCACTCTACTCCCTCCGATACACCCCATCTCTCGACGTTGCTAACCCTTCTGACAACTCTCGCGCTCAGGTCCAGTATGGTCGAATAGGTTCAGTAACCAGACTCACTCATCCGTCGCCCTGGCGCGCTCCTCTACCTCCTACGCCCGGACCGCTACTCCTATCCTGAGAAAATGGGCGTCTATAACGTCAATCTCCTCCTCGTCAACCTCCCTCTCTGAGTCGACCCAGTCTGGTTCCCACAACTCCTCGTCGTCTTCTCGCTCCCAACCCTCGTTGTCAAACTCGTCCTCGTCGCGGTATGGCGCCTGTCCTATGGCCTGGTAGTATTCCGTCAACTGATGGTCATATATCAGAGGTCGCCCGGCGTCCTCACTCCACCAGCTCCCCCAGTCGTCTGAGAAGAGCCGCCCGATGCAGGTCACGTACTCGGGGCCCGCTCGGAGCTCACGGTCCAGCCAATCCCAAACGCACAGAGACTGGGGCCACTCGTCGTCTATCGAGCGGATCAGCTCTATAAGTTGAACCCTCTCGTCTCCCCAACGAGGTCCACCGGTCGCGAGCGAGTAATGGATATAGTCCAGGTCGGCAGGTCTTCTTGCCAGGATCTTGAGATCCTGATAAGCCAGGTATGTCTCGACCACTCCACCAATACCTCCAAAGACACTCTCTACTACGAACGTCGGAAGTATCGCCCGCAGGCTCCTAACGCTGTACGGGAAAAAGCCGTCCCGTGCTACCACTAGCTCGCCCGTGATATCAAGAGGAGGTCGTCCGCGAAATAGCGTCAACGGGTCGCTCGAGTTCTCCGCTCGGAAGGCAGCTACCTCTTCCCTTAGGTAGCTTAACGCCCTGCTAACCGCGTCACTAGTCCCTGTCGTCGCGAGGCCCACCACGGCCTCCCTGACCGCACCCGGTCCCAAATACAAGTAGGCTCTCACTACGCCCACTCCTTGCCCCGGCCGGTGTTCTCTGTACGTCCAAAGCCACACGTCCTCGGACAGGATTATGGACCTCCACGCAAACTGGCCGTCAGCGTGTCGAATGTTGCGCCCGGGGATCATGAGCTCGACCAGATCCCCCTCTATGAGTTCAGGAGGCTCTAAGTCCCAGTCAATGGTAGCCCCATAGACCTCTACTTGCACCCGCGGCCACATTCAACTGGCGGCTAGAGAGAACGCAGCAAACGGAAGGTGTAGATTAATAACTGACGCGTCGCTTGCCTCACGCCTTCGAGAACAAGCTAGTAGGTTCACCTGAAACCAGGTTACTGCAACGTCTCTTTATCTTCTCCTTCTAGGGAATTCTTTTGTATTTTTTTTTAATTATAAATTAAAGAAAATATATTTAGTTAAGATAAAATCTCTTTCTTAGTTTATATATATTAAGGATCAATACTTATATAAGCCCGCCGAGTTTGATACTTTTTAGGGGAAGAAATAAAATTCTGGGGATTTTACTAAAATTTTGGCAGCGTTTCGCCTCCCCCCGTTGGGATGGGGTTCGGGACTATTGTCCCTAGACAAATGCTACCTACCCAGAACTAAAGCCAAATGAAACAAGAGGAAAGTCGCTTAAAGAAACAAATTTCTAACGTATTTTTAATTAATTTCCCTAATCGCTTTCAATATATTTATTAAAAAAAAATTAATAATTTAAATTAAGAGATTTTTCAAAATCTCGACAGCACTTTGCCTCCCCCCCCCGTCGGGATAGGGTTCGGCCGAAAGCCTCAAAATACCGACGGTAGATGTTTATCAAGAAAGATTAAGAACTGAAAAAGTATCTCAATCTTTAGCTAATTTTCAAGTATTTTCTTTAATTATTTAAGATTTAATTCAATAAAATTCAACAAATTGCCGATAAATTTCGGCAGCACTTTGCTTTCCACCCGTTGGCATGGGGTTAAGCGAAGTATCTCCCGAATCTCAAAGTTGAAATAAAGCCGACTCCCGTT